CATCACCTTACACGAAATAGGGTGAATACATCTCATCACACTGATTTACTGGTAGTCTCGAAACCTTACTCACATACTATTAAACTTTTCCGGTTTTAAGTGTGTTCTTGACGAAACTTGTTCGAAGGGGGCCGAGATAAGTGATCCCTTTAATAATAAATGTGTTCTGCCTATTTGGTTTGAGGAAATGAAGGAATGGTGGTTGAATTTTCCTTCATCACCTTAAGCTAAATAAGTGAAAAAGGTTTTTATTCAAGATCTACTGATAGCGTCGAAAGCCTACTTTAGACGAACGACCAGCTTAGCAAAGGCGTGAGAACTGCGATGAATGCGACCCTGCTTCATAAATCTCTCTCGAGATGATGCCTACATCAAGTCCATCAGAAGTAAGGTGATTGTGAACCTGGACTGGGAGAAGAAATGGAAACGAAGAAGTATGGCAAGGGGAACTTTACGAATGTTCCGTAGACTGCTATTCAATAGAACATGTGACAAAATATGGTTTAGAGTCAGGCATGGGTATCCACATTAATGAGCTCAAGGACGATGATGGCGAATCAACTAAAAAAAGGCTTGGTCACCGGGGCATGCTGGCTACACTGCATAAGCTACCTTCCTTTCAACGCTCTTTCAACGTGACTGAGTTGCTAAGACGAGCCCAAGTCAACTACAAAGTGAGGAATGAGACTGCGACCGAACTATGGGCCATGTCCTCTTGACTTTCATAAGGATCATCCTCGAAGTGAGTTACGTACTCTATTTTCCCAGAATAGATGTGATAGCAACTAGACTGTGCAGACGAGATCTTTCTATTCATAAATTACATTTTGCTAATTGTTACCCTGATTTCCTCGTTCACAATCACATTTCCTAAAAGCATTTACTCATGCTCTGGTTTCTTCATAAAAGCGTTAGTCAAAAAATAGATTTCAAAGAAATCCTTAACTTCAGCTTAACGTTTAGCTGATTTACTTTTAAGATTTTGATTATGGAAGAGCAGCATTTATACTTATACCATAAATGTGGGTGATCGGGTTTTATCCCGAAATAGAAGTTTCAATTGAGATGGAATGGAGTCGAGGAAAACACTTACGGCATCCGATTTAGAGGCTCCCTTTTTCCCCTTTTTTCCGTCTTTTTTTTCGTCCTTACCACCCTTTTTCTTGCCCTTGCCTTTACCCTTTTCCTTGCCTTTGCCCTTCTTGCCATCGTTCTTTGCACCGGCTTCTTCCTGAAAATAATAAAAAATATATATTAAAGTCAGTAAGCCGCATAAGGCATTTAAATGTCATCTTGTCTGTATCTATATGCCGAATTCTAAAGAAAAGGTTCCGCTGGCCAAACTACAATTAACTTGAGAAGAAGATGAAATAAAGAACACAAATCTAAACTGTTCTGCTTGCAAGGTAATGTGGTCAGGCTCTAGATACTCTGCTGTATAACTAAAAACTTTGAACTTCCTTACTGCCCTGCGACTGACTTGACCCCGTGGCCGTATGATGGGGTTGCAACCTGTTTCCACTTGACTCACACGATCTAATTTCTAATCCCCTTGCGAGTACTGATGAGATCTGGGCAAGGTCAAGTCTGGAGAAGAAAGCAAGGATATATGGAATTTTGGGACAGCATGAGGTCTACTCATCTCGTTGTGAAAATTCACCTACATCATTATAGGCGGCTAAAGGTATCTTAAGAATAACACTAAAAATGTTAATATTACGTTAAAATTAATTTCCAGATAAGGGTAAATTAGCAACTAATCTTACACTAGGGACAATATTGCAAAGAATAATTCAATCATATTTTATTACCTTTTCCTTCAGCTCACGTTCCAGTTCCTCTGGCGTTTTCTCCTTGAAAATTTCTGCCGACCCACCTTCGTCCTCCTCAGGGTAGTCGGGGAATTTGCCAGTTGCATCTCTGGTTTGAAAATATATACATAGCTGAAATATATACTTATATATTTAATTATATATTCAAAAACTATAGTTGTTTAAATAAATAAATAAATTTGAAGATGACTCCGCTTTGATTAACCGGTTAGGCACAAAAAAATAAGTGGTAAAAACGGCAAATATAACGGATTTCAGTGTGAAGACTTGATATAAAAGAGGGCTATCAAGTGAGGTAATGATTTGACGATTCGATTTTTGATTTGGTGCTTCCGGAGACAAGACAACAAGCTAGACATGGCCTCTTAGTAGCTATCACGCCATGACGATGTTTATCTACTTTTTTTTACAACTAT